TAAAATATAAGCCCACCAAGAACTGCATTACAGCCTTGCACTTATGTAAACCTTCAGGTAAGATTATAGTATTTCAAATGTCTGAAACAGTTGTTGATCCTAAATACCAAATATACAGCAATAGTTAGGCTGATTAGGGATAAACTTTTTGCCTTTGTTCTGAAGTTCCTTGCAGAGTGGGTTTAATTCAGGCCTTAAATCTCACTTGAATATAATTTATTTAGTACAGCACTATGGGGCCTTACTTTTTCAATTAGTATTTCTTGCATAAATTAGTTTATCTACAAACTTTGACCAATTCCTCATAATATTTGACCTATGGTTCCATTCCTGTGATAGTATTTCACCTTAAGATATTTTTGTAGTTATTAAATGTTTMATCTTCAGTAGTATCATTTATACCAGGAAATTTACTTAAACAAGTACTGTCAGTATTTTAAAAATGCTTTAATACCATTTGCTCACTTTATCCATTTTTTATTTGCAGTTGAAAAATGAAGAAAAAGATACATATGAGGAAAACCTCCATTACCCTTTTCTTCTCATTTTAACCAAACAGAGATAGAAGATTACACCCTTTTTTTTTTTTTTTTTTTTTTTTTTTTTTTTTTTAAGCTGGACTGCTGAAAATTAATCCATGTATGTGGATGGTCAGGGAGTGTGGAGTGCTCATTTTCCTCCACTTACGTCCCTGGATCATCATTGGAGAAATATTTCTAATCTAAATGCTGAGGAAGATATCTTGGCTTGTTTTACAGAGTATAAACATTGAGACATCTTTTCTTGTGTCATTTTAGAAGTTATTTTTCCAATTATATTCAGCCTTAAACTGAATACAGGCTTCACATGTATGCATTAGCAAAGTTGTAAAGCTGGCTTCCTTCTCTTTGTGCCTTTAAACTTGCATGTACTTTGTTAATCTCTTTAAATGCTATTTTTTATGTATATTTGAAAATATATGGATAATGTACTTTGTGGGCTTATATAACTGGTTGAAAAGAAGCGRCTGCATTGACATTTAATTTGTAAGGAAATAGTTGTCTGAAGAACTTCTAAAAGTGCTCCTATTCAATGCTTGTATTTTCTGCCTTTTTTTTTAATTCCACTGTTGATTTTTCTATCCGTGATTGAAATGTCCTCATTTGCTTCAGTGTGGAAGGCTCCTTTTCTATATGTGTGTATGTATGGGTTTTTTTCCAGCAGGACTTTTCCTCCTGTAGATGTATAAGAAATTATGCATCAGACAAAAGCCTCATAAACTGACCATTTGTCCTTTGGACACAATAGCCTGCCCAGCCCCTCTGCTCCTCCTCTCCAATTATGTGTGATTAGTCTCAGTGTGTTGTGTCAAGAAGGGGGAGTGTGCTGAGTGCTTATTATCTGTTTAGGTACAAGAAGAGCACATTTAGGTTCTGACTATGAATGGAAAGTGAGCCTTTATCAGGATTAAAATCTAAATGCTACTATCCTAGAAAYTGCTTTCAAAAAACACATCCTTTTTTTTTATAAATTCCAAGAAACACCGAGAACTAAAGGATTTTATAATGTAATCAAACTATCTCCCTTTAACTAATTTATATTGTGATATATTGTGGCCCACGTATTTGATATATACTTAATATGATTTTTCTTGTACTGGGAAAGACAAAAATCCTACAAAGAAACAAGAGCAGTATCTGAATTTCTTAACAGTTTAACAGACCGTTTTAATGACTTCTCAGTAACAATCTTTAAACCACAACACTTTTAAAATGTTGAAAAAAAGAGAGAGAGGCAGAGACCATGACTGAGAGAGGAAGGTACTAGCTGCAAGTGTAGAGAATCCTGCTGAAATACATTAATTAAAAGAACTGGAATTTGGCAATAAGTCTTCTTCCATATTCAACAAATTGGCCGGCATGTAAACTGCCAGCTCCTGAAAGTCTTTTTCTCCTCATTCTTCTTCCCAAACAAATTTCTTCAGTACCGGTTTGCATGTCCTTGTATTCAGTACTTTTTATGCTCCATTAGAGCACCTAGATGGATCTCAGAAGGCATAGGTCAAGTCGCAGTTAGATCATACATTTCTTTCGCACAAAAACTTGAATTGCAATGCCAAGTGATGGGCTAACATCACAATAACAGCAATTTATTCCTCTTTTGATAAAAAGCAGCCTATTCTCGGTGTTAGATAAAGACCAGGGGCAATGCAAACCAACCATTTATCCTAGAACTGAGTAGTATAGCTGGTATGAGTTTCATATTCAAACTCCTGTTGGAAAATACTCATCTAGTAAGAWATCAAAAGCATTTAGGAGTAATTTGAAATTGCTGTGAAGATGGCTTTAGTTTAATTAGTTTTGTTTTGTTTGTCCTACACAGCAGTGCCTTTGTTTCTCTAAAAGTATGTACAAGGAAATCTTCATAATCAACAAAGCAGTGTGAAAAATAGCGTAATATTGAAATTTGTGAACCTTTTATTTTTGAGAGGACCTGAATGTCTGCTGTGCAATAATCTAATAAAGATCGTTAGTTGCCAAAAATAGAAGCAGTGTCATTGAAAATTGTGGTTTTAGCTCTAAGAAGAAAACAGTTTTACTCAAATTAGTAGCTGATAATTGCTCTTTATTTCTTTAGTGTCTGTTGTTTGAGTTGAAGGCTTTGCACAGGTGCTGCYGTCCCTAAAGTGTGTAATTGATGGCTTGTTTACCAAAGATGCATTTAAGCTTCATCCTGCAAACTCACATTGGAGCTCCACAGGCAGTAAAGTTACTCATCTACATAAGTGCTTGCAGGTTTGGTTTGTGTACACATTTTTAGGGGTACATAAACAAGTCCTGGTTTTGATTTTTTTTTTTTTKTTGTTTTAAAATGGGTGTTGAAAAGTCACAGATGCAGGATTTATATGAGGTACTAAGAGTGTTCTTTTTTAGAGACATCTCTGAGYCCCTTGCATTAATAGATATTTGAATAGTTTCTGAGCTCTTAAATTTTAAAAATASAGTGTTTATTAATACATCAAATATCTTTGCTAAGAAAATGTTAGGCAGTTTGTCAAATCATGCTAATAAAATGTATCAGAGCATTTTATGTCATGTGTTTTAACTATCTCTGATATCTGGTATATTTTTAATTATGTAATTTACAGTGTTCTGTAACAGAATATTGAGCTTCATTACTTTATGTCTGCAAAGCATTTGAAGTTGAACGACACCATGCAAGAGCTGTGCTGGCTTCACTGAGAATGGAAGTGTTAGGCTGATGCAAATTTTCCTTCACTTCATTGTGGTCATTCTTACAGCAGTGTTGGGTCTTCCTTCTTTCTCAGAGAAAAATGGCACAGAGGAATGATGTTCATGTGGACATCCATTCCCCTGGGCACAGCCCACATGCACCCGGTGCCACTGACACTGAGTTGTGTAATCTTTAGGATATGAAAGATCAAGAAGAAAGTATTTCTTGCTTAAAAATTTCAAACTAGTCCCGAATGATAGCATTCTGGAACAGTGGGACAAATCTTTCATTTGGGAAATAAATTTGATGTGAAACAAAAAATGCCTTAAGAGTGGGAGATGAGGCAGGAGAACTTGCTATTCCAGGTACCAGTCGAGCTTCAAAATCCTTATTAGACAAGTCATTCACATTTTGCCTGTGGCTTTAGTGGCTACATGTTTGCACAAGGAGGGAAGGTGGATTAAAATTGTTCCCCCCCACAAAAAGCATCATCGTGAGCCTGGCTGCATACAGTTTATCAAGTGTTACATCTCCATTACAACTCTCCTTCGCTGTTCCCTGAACAAAAGAGGATGCAGTGGGTGGAGCTTTTGATCCTCCTCTTGATATGGCAGGTGGCACAGCTGATATGGCAGGGGAAGAGGAAAAAGGCAGCAACACATGCAAGTCAAACAGCACAGTGTTTTATTACCCACTCTCTCTAATGCAAGAGGGGAATGACCAAGTCCTTTTTTATTCGCAGGACAAATTCTAAACACATAGTTTGGCCTGGATTTTTTTTTCCCCCCCAGTGTGTGGTTTTCTTCTTTTTTAAGGCAGGGATTTTTAACAGTGATGTCAAACTGCAAATTCCCTTAACTCTTCTGAAATTATTTGAGGCACTGGTAGAAAGGGCTAGGAGAGCATGCACTAGAATGTTTTCTGCACAGCCTGGTCATCTCACATTGTTTCCTCAGAAAGAGGCAATTTTCTTGCTTTCTATCTTTTTATTCCCTTTTTAGATTGTCATGTGTCCGATTAAGGTGATGTCTCCACTGCTACAAATCAGCAGTCTAACACTGACTGTAAGCACACCAGCATCTTTTGAAAGATTGTTTTGAAGTTGATTTTCAATATGATTCTCATCTGCAATGCAACAGCACTTACTCAACGCAGTCAAAATGAGGGTACCCTGATTCAAAATCCCATAAAGCTAAAAGGAAGTCAATACATGACTTAGTAAATTTGCAGAATGAATGTGTAAGTAAGGGGGGGCCAGACCCCCCAAATGATGCATATTCCTCATAGGAGGGAACCTGAGGCACAGCCAGTATTGCTGTCTCCGTTACCTACAGCGATTTAGAAATCAGGCAATGCTTTCTAGAACAGACCCCACATTTTGTGAGATTCACTGCTGCATCTCCTCTGCAGAGATCCATCTCCCTCTCTGACCTGTGGACTCTGTTGCAACAGCTGAATGTAACAAACCTAACTTTTCTTTCCCATTTTTTAAGGGTTTAGCCTATTACCGCTCCTTGCTTAGTCAGCAGCTGGMTTGCTGCCAAAAAGCCCAGCATATTGTTGTGGCTGGGTAAAAGCTGGATATTTTCCATGGTTGTCCAACAGCGGCATTGGATCTTCATTGTCTTCTCGTGTGTAAAGTGTGTGGAAAGTAGAGGGAAGATGCACGAAGCGTTAGTCCAGATGGCATTCCACAGCCTGAGAAGAAACATCTTGACCCTCGAATCTGGGTTAAACTCAACAGATGCCAAGCCCCCAAAAACAAAGAGCTGTTGTGGCTGATGACA